CTTCCTGTTCATTGGCTTTATGGAAAGCAGCATTATTCACCTCCACCTCGTCCTCGGACTGCATCCGTTGTTCGAGTGCAACATTGGAATCCAGGTACAATGAGTCGTTGGAGGCGTTTGGGCTCATCGTAATGTGTTTCGCTTGCTTGGAGTGGGAGTAATTTTCGGATTCCGGGAAAGACATGGGCGCGGGGAATAATGGAGTGGAATTATAAGCAGTAATGATAATGGTAAGGCGTAGGGCTGAGCCTGACGTAGGGCTGATTTCGGGTGATCTGTTCGGATCGAGTATTGGGACCGGGAGAGGATGACACTAGAGAATATGGAGATTTATGACGACTCTTGTCGGTAGGCAGCAGTAAATTGGTTTTTGGGTAATTGACCTTAGGGTAATTGAACTTGTTTCACTGGACTTTCTCTCGGCCAAGACGTTGATCGTTCCTAGCAATGACGTCACGAGGTTCCACTTTAAAGTGATGCTGTGTTCATCAATGGCAACGATACTCCAACTGGACTTTGAAGTGAAGTTATTTTTTATGAGATATTGCTACGAAAAGGGCTAACTATATGTATATGCCTCCACTTTATTCAAGGTATCGTTCTTGATCATTTTAATGACTGAAGGAATCGTTCTCATGGATTGATATCTGAATATTTCAATTTAGTAATGAACTACGCACTTTGTACAAGCGATCATCTTCAAGACCCGACTAGTTATAGATCGCAGCCTGGAGGCCAGGAATGATCTCGAGATCCTTCGGCTTATAGGTATACTTTCCCTCGCTGGAAATCTTGACATCCCGATTTTTTCGCTGCTGCTGCGTTTGTCGAACAGTAACCCACTGCTCGGTCGTGAGGTGCTGCCCAAGTTCGGTGAAGGCGTTGGTTGTCAATCCAAGCCTGTTAAGAAGGGGGCTGTTCTGAATAGGATCAAGGACAACGTGGTTGTTGGGGCTATATTCATTAGACTCTGGACACTCCGTATGCGGCATACTCCGAAAGAACTTACCGAGCAAAGTACAGAACTCCCAATCGATCAATATGGGCCTGGTCGGCAGGTGGTGCATGCACCCGATGAATACTCGACTTAATCAAACCACCAGTGAGTGCGGTCAAGGCATCGCATGTGTTGATAGTGATTGTCCCATCTTGGGGCTTCACCCACTTCCATTGACCCTCTGAATTGAGAATCTGAAGTGCGGCTACTGGTTGCCGGAACAGAAGAGTAACTGTTCCCAAGTCTGTGTGGCCGGGACTGTAAAGCTCACCGACCTTCTTGTTATCCTCAGCGCTACGGGCCGCATAATGCATATAGCGCAGATGATCCTCGCCCTTGACGTCGTATTGGTGGTCACGGACTAGCTGATCTTCATCCGGCAATTCAAGCAGGATTGCGAAGAGGCGGAGAAGCTTCTCAACAACTTCGGTGTGGCATTTCTATGGTTTGGTTAGCTAAAGGGACAGAAAACGATGATAAAAAAAAAAAAATAAGAAAAAAGGGAACGTACGCGACTGAAAGCTTCAATCTCTTTAATATTGTCGGCGAGGATAGCAGGCTGGGGTCTCTCGTGGTAACCGTCGAACTTTGGGAGGTTGTACACCTGGACATTATCCTTGATGCCATTTCCTAGGCTGAGTTAAAACGCATTAGTGTTGAGTAAATTTGTCTCTGGGAGCGATCTGTTTCTTACATTCGGTGTCCTGCAGGACGATAAGAGTTGTATTCACCCCTTTCAAGGTCACTGGCGCTGTGGAATTTGAGCTTCTCTTCAAGTGGGAGGGCATAGAATTCCCGCCCCAGAGCAAACTGATTGTCGATCTCTTCTTGGCTAATGTTGAAGTTCTTCACATAGAAAAATCCTGTTTCCAAACTCTGATTAGCACTAAACCTAAAGAACAAGTCCAATTAAAGTGCAGCTTAGGGATGGTCTCGTATAGATCCCGGGCTTGGCATGGAGCGGAAGGTATCAACTCACCAACATTTCTAACAGCATGATCAAGCTGCTTGACAAGTTCTTCCTTTCCTCCCGGCTGTTCATACTGGCTCAGGTCCAGTGTGATAAGTTCAGCCCAGTCAACTAATCCACCGGTAAGCTATCAGCAACACAAAAAACAAGAAATTAAACACCACTCACGGTCTTCCTTGGTCACAGGAACCTGGTCATATTTTTCAATGTATTTTCCTGGCATCTTGAACGGTGTATAAGCTTATGAGATGCGATTGCTGGATATCTACAGCGACTTCAAGTTGCTCGTTACCGCAACAACACCTTATCAGGAAGCCCACGCTGTATATAAGTCCATTCGTACTTAATTCTGATCGTATACCCCGCATCAGATAATCGGAGGGATTTGTCAAGAGCACGCAATAAATTCGTCCGATGAGGCCTAAGATAACGGGTAGTTTTTGGCTTTCGTGTGGTAGGCCGGGGTGCGCGCACGCCATCATGCTTAAACATGTCGCCTCCGCCGGCGCATCAAAGAAAACAGCAAATGTGCTAGCTTCGGTTTCAACCCTCTTTTCGTCTCGTGAGAAGCTAATTTTCGCGATCTAGATTTGCTGAAAGGTCGATGGTGACAGCGGGTGGGGGAATTAGTTAACATCACCATGGCTAGCTGCTTTCTTGCATATGCCGCGATGCTATAGCAATGCATCGTCCTGTAAGAACTAATGGCGATGGTCTATAATCCAATGCGTTTTGTCTTTTGCACATTTGGAAACAGCTTCGGACGTTCGCCGAGCCTTTCTCATGTCTGATCTGAAGCAGAAGGCCGGGAGGCTGTCCCCCTTGGGGCTTCTCAAAGAGGTGTTTAATTGGTACCCATCCTCTTATCCTGCCGAAGAGAGAAAGTGAGTAGATCAATGTTTAGGAATATATCCGTGGGGGTATACTTACGTTTGTAGATTATTGTTCAAGCTGGACTTGTCAATTCTGATCTTCGCTTGTCTATGCTGTGAGTACACGATCCAAATGAGCGTCTGAGAAAAGCAACTAACGAACTTAGTCTTTGTCAAGTACCTGGGTAAGCCTATTTCCGCTTTGATTTCCCTTTGAGCGGATGCCAATACATCACAGACCAGACGAACATTAGCAATGCGTATGTCAGTGGTCTCAAAGAAGACTTTGGCCTGTACGGCAATGAGCTCAACTACTTCAATGTCTGCTACTTTACGTCATATGTGCTCTTCCAAATCCCTGGATTACTGCTCATGTCCCGCCCAAAATTGTGAGTCTCAGTGAAAGACCTCCGCACTAGTAGCAAGCCACTGACCAATTCGATAGAGCTCGTTGGTTGTTGCCTACCCTTGAAGTCCTCTGGGGTATTTGCACATTTGCCCAAAGTCGTGTCACGAACGTACACCAGCTCTATGCTCTTCGTTTCTTGGTTGGAATGCTAGAAGCGCCTGTGTTTGCAGGAACCCATTTTATTCTTGGTACGTAGAGCGGATACGTATGATGGCTTGGAACTGTACTAACCATATCAAAGGTTCATGGTACACGGGTCCCGAACTCTTCAAACGAGCTGGAACATGGTTCATCTGTAACCCTCTCGGTACCATGGTTAGTGGATACCTACAAGCAGCTGCTTATACCAATCTGTCTGGTGTTGGTGGTATGCCAGGGTGGAGGTGGCTGTTCATTATCGACGGCATATTTACCATCCCCGTGGCCTTGATTGGATTCATTATCTTCCCGGGTATTCCTGGATCACCCAAACCATTCTATATGACGGACCGTGATGTTGCATTGGCCAAGGAAAGAACCACGAGGGCCAAAATTCGCCAGCCAGGCAAGATGAGTCTCGATGTCTTCAAGAGGACTTTTAAGAGATGGCACATCTGGGTGTTTATCAGTTGCTACGCGTAAGTTTGGCAAACTTTTACCCTTGGTGCAGTAAATATGCTAACTTCAGTTTTAGATGCATGATCATCTGCTCCTACCCAAGCAGTTATATGAGTCTATGGCTCAAAGAAGAGGGATATTCCGTTACTCAAATCAACCAGCTGCCGACTGTCACCTACGCGGTTAATATTGTGGCTTCCTGGTTGGGAACGACATTGGCTGCAATCTATCCTGAATGGATTATTTATACCATTGCATCGGCATGCTGTCTATTCTCGACATTATGCATGATAATTTGGAACATTCCTACAGGCCTCAAGTAAGATACCGTATTAATCAGTCCTCATATTGGGTCTATGTTGCTAACAATTCTCTTCAAAGATTCGTTGCCTGGTATGTCTTTGGAATGGCCGGATGCTTGAGTCCAATCCTATACTCCACCATCAATATAATAGTGAGAGACGATGCCGAGGAGCGCGCTCTCATCATGGTATGCCCATTTCCTTTCCCTGTGATAACAAGAACTTCTACTTATCATCTCCTGTCTCACACTATAGGGTTCCATGATGACATTTGGCTATTCTTTCAACATCTGGGTTCCTTTACTGGCATACCCAACTGCCGGCCCCGACGGTGCGCCTAGATGGCGCAAGGGGTGGCCGATATCATTTGTCTTTTTCTTCCTGCTATGGGCTGGTTTCGTGGCTTCTGTTTACATATGGCGAAGGTAAGATCCTGTGGGTAGATATTCATGGACATCTAACTGACATCTCATTTTAGGGAGCAAAAGAGGGAAGCTTTAGCGTCCCCCCAGGAAAGTAGTGATGAGGAAACGGACACTGTGGTAGTTGATGCGACCCCGGCATTGAAGAACTGAATCAAACTTCTGTGGATGGGGTATGATTGATTAAATGTTATCCAAAAGCCATGGGTATATAATAATACATCGCCTGTCCTTTGGTCTAAAGAATTTCATCATTTAAACCGAAGCTCTGGGGATATGTAATTTACTCAACAGAAAAGGCCTGGCAATGAAATCTACCTCACGGTATAGGTAGGGCCTTAGGTGCTAATTTCTAATGACCTTTCCACTATAGATAAGTGGAAGAGAAGATGATTTCATCGTTATCAAGCTGCAGTCCCATTGCGGGCACCATGTTCACGTTGGTCATGTTGGACAATGACTTGGGGACTCGCGAGATACCCGACGGTATGTATGTTTTCACCCGGGCTGGTCGCTGTGGCCTCTGTTAGGATGGCTATTGTCAGCCCTGCGAAGCTGACCACTCGTAGTCTCCCCAGCGTATCGTACTCGAACCTACCACCCCACTTGGATCAGCTTCTCGATTCATATAGTTTCAACTGCCAGGTCTCACCTCTATCCATCGCCGTTCAACATCATGACGGAGCTCTTTGCAGTCTTGGTTCCGAGATATGTTCTAAATGAGAGCTTAGCCTTGACTAACACCATCACTGAGCATTAGGTGTAGGTGGCGAGTTATGAATGAGACATGAAAAGGTGAGCGCAAAGGTCGAGTAAAGTCAAGAAAAGCTAATGGTCAATTGAGATGAGCAGAGAGGTGTATTCAGGGGGGCCCAGGTAGGACGGGATCTACATGTTCACCCCAATGGTACTGACATGTCGCGTAGGAGCCATCGCCTAGATGAATATTGGTCAGTGCCAATCACGTATCAATATATTTGTGCCAGGCATTATATACAGACCTCAACACGGGCCCTCTAATTAGCCCAGTGTTCATGCCATATGCCGTGCTCATAGTCAGCCTCGCACAAGGAGGTTAGGGTTAACTCCCATTAAATATAGAACTTCGGCTCGAACCCACCAGTTGGTTGTGTGGCCGCGGCCAAACTCCACCTTACTTGAGGTGTGGATGAGAGAAGTGCCAATGCCATTTTTGATAACCATACAGATACTTTTGCGATGCCTTCCTTACACCATTTCCATGTTGTGGCCTTATATCTGCTGCCCTTTTCCGTTGGGTTGATGAGGTGGAAGCAAGTAATTCCCATCACTTTTGGGTCCTTAATGCCAGGAAGCGTGATTTCGAAAAATTCACCCAACGTAGCCGAGATGCTTACATTCTCAGCGAAAATGGGCGATGACAGAGCAATCGATCAAATTCCGCCACCATATGAACACTGGGATCTTGTAAAGCCTTGGGTTGGTATTGGCAATAGAACAGAATCCATATGCTTATCACAATCGCCCTAGCACTAGTTCCGGCAAAGGCGTAAGGGGCCATAGACTATAGGAGCATTGGTTGGTGTAAATATTATTGAAGGATCTTTAGCAGCCATCAAATACCCACTTCCGCACAGGCTGGCCAGTTTGCCCGATGGCAAAACCATGAATCTTTTTTGTAACCCGCTTCGCAAAATGTCGTCAGGTTAGTCCCCAGGCAAGTCACAGACAGTCATACCTAGTCGTTGGTAGTCTCTCGAGTTCAATGAAAGTTGGCGTTGTGCAGTGAGAGAAAAGAAGCAAAGAAATTCTCATATTGTCTATATATACGTAATATTGGGTCGATAGTCTTGACTTGGGTTATTACTTCTCAATTCAAGGATATCGAGGCTGTGCCAGTCTTCGAATAAAGACATCGGCACGAACCTGCCAGTTGGCAGTGTGGCGCCCACGGTTGTAATTGGCCATATAAAAAAAAGTAGAATCTCTATTTTTTTTACCTGTAGTATGTAAAATAAGAAGATGAGTAAATTTGAATACAGTAAAAAGCGAAGGGTGGTGCGAATGACCACCCCGAATGAATGTAATGCGGAAGGGGATGCTGTTCCATTAATATGGCTAGCTGCAGCCCCCAATAGGGACTTTCCGGTTATACTGATTAAACATGATGGCTACCTATGAGGTAGTTAGCGAACTCCATTTACATGAAGTGTGTGGGAAGAGTGCCATGGATAGGATTTAATATTTGGAGCATCCATAGCTATGTAGTGTACGTTTTTGGAAAACCATTTCGGGGTTCTTCGTTCCCCAAAATCTGTCTCCGCCGCGGGATGTATATTATCTTGGCATCGGCCGATTGTCAGCAACTCCGTAAACTCCGTAAATTGCAAAACATTTTGGAGTTGATTTCCGGGGAAACGCCAAAGATGACACTTTTTGGGGGCAGATTTACGATACCCTTTTGCTATGGTTTAGCCGATTTCATTTTTCACAATCATGGGTTCTTACTATAGCCATAACTTAGACTTCTTGATTATTGCGACTGGTTATCACTCTAGGTCCAACATAATCACACAAAAAGTGGAATCAATTGATTTTGCTCTGCAGACCTGGGGAAGAGAAACTAGAAATCAATTGGCCCCAGTACGCAGCATTTTGGTATTCTTTAAACATTCGGCATTCTAAGTACCGAGACTGCATCGTTTCCTGGCCCCACCAGGTTAGTGCTAGCATTGGAGAAGCCAAAGTGCCGGATGCTATGTTTTGAGGACCCCAAATTGGAGAGAGGAAAAAATAAGTTACCCCAAAGATAACGGTAGGCCATTGATGACCATAACTCTCAATGCTTGGCAAGTTTGATTTCATTCAAGGGCTTCGAAAGGGAACCCCCGGTGCCCTAGTCATTATCTGTGGTAGCTTAGCCTAGTGTTGCAAATCCATGCTGATGAGGTTAAAGCTACTGGGACTAGTTGAGTATACCTTCCATTGCACATTGCTGCTTTGGTGCATCGTATTCAATTAATGAATTCGGTCCACTGGATCTGTTTGTCCCGTGGTTTGGTTCGACCATTGGGTTGTTAGTTGTGGTATAAACTATCATTCCATCTACTCCATAATACGTAATGAATCGCGTGGTATATAACTAACACCAAAGATAGTAAATGATAAGCATGGTTCAATTCCATCCATACACTTCAAGGTGGCTCGGCTATATACTACTCTGGGAAAGCAAGCCACAGCCTCTATACGAGTCTTCGATAGTGGTCTCCTTATCTCTCCATTAGGAACCGATGTTCAATAGTAAATGAGATAGATAGATAGATAGCTATAGGTATGCTTCTTGTTACATAATTGAGGAATTACCAAGCAGGCACTGGGCTACGAAAACATATAAAGAGCAGTTGGAACTACTCATTGTGGTTTTATCATTGCTGTATCTCACTGTCTGCTAAGGATATCATTGCATCCTTCATCATGTTCGGCACTCTCGTAGCCACGGCACTTCTTGCCCAAATTGCTTCGGCATCATCACCTGATATCAAACAATGGAACGACCCCAGTACCAATTTGACTTGGATCTACAAGAACGCATCCTTGCCAAGAGTCATGCAAGTAGCACAAGAACATTTTGCTTTGAAAAAATCTCTAATTTTGATCCTAGGCTCTATAACACTGGGGATGGAACGATTCTGTCGGGATCTACGCATGGTAGATTGGACACAATCGCCTACGGTGGTGGCACTGGAGGATTGACCCCAGAGACACTTATCTATAGCGTCCCCGAAGTCCTCGACATTGCTCAATTCGCCGTCCGAAATATCAGCGGCACTGGCAGTGCTAATGCCGACTCGGACAGATTCCTGAACATCTCAATGCACGCTCAAGAGCAACTCTGTTCATCCGACTCGGATGTCGTTGGCGCTGTCATGATTCATGGCACCAACACGCTCGCTGAAACGGTAAGTTTACCCTCGATCAAATCCCCTTCGAGATTGCCGCATTAGCTGATTCAACATAGGCATTTGGTGTTGATCTCACCTTGAACTGCTCCAAGCCTTTTATCGCTACGGGATCTATGCGGCCAAACTCAGCAATGTCACCCGACGGGCCACGCAACTTCTACGACGCAGTCAGGGCTGCTATTCACCCGGAGTCGCGTGACCGAGGAGCTATGATTGCGCTCAACGACCATTTGGTGTCTGCCTTCTATGGAACAAAGACTAACGGCAACACGGTCACGACATTCTTGGCCACAGACCAAGGGTACATCGCCCAGGTGATTGCCGGACAGCCGTACTTCTTTTACGGTGCATCTTTGCCAAAGGCTCGCCACTACTTTGACCCGTTCAATCTCACCTACCCTCTTCCCAAGGTCGTGGTTCTTTATGGTCACCGTAAGTGAAAAATGGCCCAAAGCTTCCGTGATCTTGTTTAACTGATATTAAACAGAGGGCTTTGACGCAAACCTACTATATGCTGCTGCCGCGGATGGCGCCAAGTAAGTTTCAACCACGAGCCTTTGCTATGCAAGACCTAACAAATGTATCTGCAGGGGCATTGTTATTATGGGTGTCGGTCCTGGCGGTCTGAGCACGGCCGCTACGCAAGCCGCCCAGGATCTCTATGGAAAGGGTGTTGTCACTGTTGCGTCGCTTCGCCCCTCCTTTGGCGCAGTGGTTCCCAGCCCCGAGCCTGGAAATATGTACGTTAACAATTTCCAACCTTCCACAATGACATCTTCACTAACACAATGAATAGTATCAGTTCTGGCTTCTTGCATGGCGAGCAGTCCCGCATTCAGCTCCAGTTGGCTCTTGCATCGGGCTTCGAGTTTACTGAGATCCGCAGGATTTTCGAGGGCGAAATTCGGGCAGCTGTCTTCAACTCTGCTACGCCCTACTATAACGCTACAAGTGTCTAAGATGCAGATGGCGGGCAACTCCTTTTAACTCATTATTGGAGCACCGAGCTACTTAATACCAGCGTGCAAGGTACAAGAATATCAACCTGGTAGCCAAAAGAGGATTTAATTGGGGTAATTTTTCCTTTGGGGGTTCCAAGTGCAGAACTGGGATGAACTCCTAGACAGATGGGGTGTTGGTTTTGGAACAGAGAGTGCAAAGGATGTGTCGTCATTTCTAGAGAACTACTTCTCAGTTAGCCTTGATTTCTTATATTCACGAGTCTACAAACTAGCAGACGAGATCATGAGAGAGCACACTGTAATTTATTGTGTGATGGATAATGAACTGCCGGGTGTATTACATTATTTAGTGTCAATTCCAAACAATTGTTTAAGCCACAAGATTCAGACCAGAGTGGTCCCTCCAATTTTTGTACTGTTCGTGTGCGAGTCTACAAGCTAGCAGACGAGAGCATGAGAGAGCACACCGTAATTTATTGTGTGATGGGTAATGAACTACGAAAAAAACAGGAGAAAACGATATATTTAATCTACTACTATTGCAGAGAGATCATATCATGTCCACTGGGATATTCGAATAATTTGCAAAAGCAGGAACAAAATACATGATAATTGATATTTTTGGATCACTTCTGCCACACCCTCCATCGCTCCTTCAGTTAGTTATGTCTCTTGATTGAGGATCCAGCATAGCGAAAATAATAGCGAGAGATGGTGCGCATGCGAGAGGAAATTGGAAAGAACCAATAGCAGGCAGGTATGGTGTTCATGTTGGGAAAGGCACCGTAAACTGGTGTCTGAGCCATATATGTTGGAGAGGAAGCTCTGAAGATTGACAGTAATACGTTGATTTGACT